CAACACAAAACACAACCCCAAAAAGATCCAGCACTGCTGGCACCCCGACGCGGCAGCGCCAGCCCAAGCGCGAAGCCGCGCAGACAAGCAGCCGAAGGGTCAGGCAATCAAGCAACAAGCAGCAGGAGCATGCAGGAGGAATAAAATCCCTTACACGCGATACCCGGAGGCAGCCGACTGACCACTGTCAGTCGAGACGTCCGCTGCCGCCACAAAGCGGGCGGCCGCGGACGGAGAAAGGGCAGCCGCCGACAAGGAGCCGGCGCTGCCCGGGGGTCCGCCTGGGGCAGCGGACGGAGGGAGGCTGGACACAGGAACACGGTACCGCTCGAGGTAGTCCTCCTCGCTAGCCTCCGAGTCAGCGGTAGCCAAGTCAGTGGTAGCCGCCCGTGACGGCGGCGACGCCGCGGCAATGCCCAAGGACCGGCGTGACCCGACCGATGCCGGGGAGGAAGCAGGCGAGCTCGGACCAGCAGCAAGCACCCCAGTGGTGTCGAGCTCTCTGGAGGCACCCGACGTCACAGTGAGGGACGGAGACGCCTCGCCAGCTCCGCGCCGATCGTCGGGGCCACTCGAAGGGTTTCCCCCATCGGAGTCGGAGACCTCCGGCGAAGACTCCTCGGGCGACTCGACAAAGTCCGAGGAGGAGCTGTCCTCTGGCTCGAGAAGTGCTTGCGCCCGCAAGGGCGTCATGCGCCTCGCACCAGACAAGAGCGCTTCCAGCGTAAGCTGCATGGTGAGGCGCTGATAGGTGGCGGCGCGTTTGCGAGCCAAGACCTCAGCAGCAGGGCCGTCATCAGGCACGAAGTGCCGACCAAACGCCGCATCCTCAAGAGGCATTGAGCGCTGAGCAATGATGTCCGCCAAATACCAGATGAAGCGGAGGGTGTCAGGATGCAGGGTACCGTCCGTCGAAATGGCAAGAGGGATGAACGCGTGGCGATGCCGCGTCTGGGTGCCAGCAGTGCTGGTTCTTTTCGGGCTTGTGTTTTGTGTGTGTTTGTGCAGCTTCTCGCTGTGGACTGTGTACCTGCCGGTTCAGCTTGTTCCTGCTTTGTTTTGCTTGAGGCACTTTTTACCTTCTGCCAGTAAATCCTATATCGGTGGATTTACTGGCAGAGGGTAAAAAGTGCCTCAAGCAAAATAAAGCAGGAACAAGCGAAACCTCCTGGCACACAGCGCACAGCAAAGAGTTGTCCAACCTCGGAGCCAGACGGCCCCTCAGTCAGCCGTGGCGCCCGAGGGGGCGGCCGCGGACGGAGAAAGGGCAGCCGCCGACAAGGAGCCGGCGTTGCCCGGGGGTCCGCCTGGGGCAGCTGACGGAAGTATAGGATTTACTGGCAGAAGGTAAAAAGTGCCTCAAGCAAAACAAAGCAGGAACAAGTACGGAGTAGTGGATTTACTGGCAGAAAGAGAGACATAGGATTTACTGAAGGTAAAAAGTGCCTCTCCTCGCTAGCCTCCGAGTCAGCGGTAGCCGAGTCAGCGGTAGCCGAGTCAGCGGTAGCCGCCCGTGACGGCGGCGACGCCGAACCTCCTGGCACACAGCGCACAGCGAGAAGCTGTACAATCACACACAAAACACAAGCCCGAAAAGAACCAGCACTGCTGGCAACCAGACGCGGCATCGCCAGCCCAAGCGCGAAGCCGCGCAGACAAGCAGCCGAAGGGTCAGGCAATCAAGCAACAAGCAGCAGGAGCATGCAGGAGGAATAAAATCCCTTAGACGCGATATATATAGGATTTAATCAGACGTAACATTGTTGTGTCGGATTTACTGGCAGAAGGTAAAAAGACAGTTATGGACGGAGAGGCTTCGCCAGCGCCACTCTTGATGCTTCCACCGTCGGAGTCCCAGACCTCCGGCAAAGACTCGTGACTCCTCGGGCGACTCGACAAAGTCCGAGGAGGAGCTGTATCTATGAAACTTCAAGCAAACCAAAGCAGGAACAAGCTAAACCTGCATGCACACAGCGCACAGCGAGAAGCTGCACAAACACGCACAACAAAACAAGACCAAAAGTAACCAGCACTGCTGGCTCAGACCCGGCACCGCCAGCCTACGCGCGAAGCCGCGCAGACAAGCAGGGAGGGTCAAGCAACAGTCGCTAGGAGGGTAACAAGCAGCACTGCGGCAGGTGGGGACGTTCGAAACCCTCTTAGACGCGATACCCGGAGGGAGTCAGGACAGTGCAGAGTACTGTCGGTGGAAATGGCAAGGGGATGAACGATGGAGGAGGAGGAGTCAATACCGGCACTGATCGGCACAGCAGGGGACCGTGAACGCTCTCATACACGATACCCGGATGCAGCCGACTGACCGCTGTCAGCCTGTCGACGCGTCCGCCGCCGCATCGGAGGCCGCGGCCCGGCGGCCCCAGGAAGGGCAGCCGCCGACAAGGAGCCGGCGCTGCCCGGGAGTCCGCCTGGGACATCGGACACGACGAAGCCAAGACTCGAACTTTAGAGAGGAAAAGGTCTGCGACATCAGGCAGAAGAGTACGGTACGGTACATTGAAGGGAAGCTGACTGATCCTTGATAATCATGAATACTGAGTGATAGGAGGCGAACAACCGGAGAGGCTCGCAAGACGGCAAGCTTGCACCTTTGCTCCAATCAACTTGAATCAGTTATGACTCGCCCTGCCGGCGGGATCCCGCCGGCATTCGGAGTTCAAATTGTCTCATGCCTGGGTACACTGCTCGTTGCCTGTTGAGGATGTAGCGTTGGTCTTGGCGTCTCAGGTGTCGGAGGCGCACGACAAGCGGGCCGGGCGCTCCTCGAGCCAGAGAACTTGTGGCGACACCCGGGCCTCCTTCTCCCAGTCCGGGACTTTGTCGAGTCCGATCGCCCCGGCGGGCCGGCCCGGAGTCCCGGGCCTCGGAAGTTCGCCCGGACTCCGGGTCTCAGTACCGTCTCGGACGGAGCCTCCGACGTCCGACCGGGTGGAAGCATCATCAAGAGTGGCCGCCCGGGTCCATCACGGCGCGGCGGCTGAGGCCGAAGTTGCACGGTCGAAAAACTTAAAAACTGTTTTGTACCGGGTAGCAGCTCGGACCGTACGGACGTGACTTCGAGGCTCAGCGGCTTGAGTAGCCTCAACTGGCGGCCACCGGCCGGGCACTAAATTAGCCTGGGCTTGCTTACTCGGACACTGATTCCCCCAAGTTCGGTTCCGCTGCTCCTGTGGAGGATGGATGACGATTTCGAAGTTCTTGCCTGTCCTTCCACACTCTGCTGTCCTTCCCTTGGGCCCGTAGGCTGGGCGGGCCCGGGCCGCGTGACCGTACGGTACGTCACTCAGCAGCGGCCCGCGCGGCCGCCGGGCCGGGCGGCGCCGGCCCTAGTATACCCGCTACTAGGCACAGGTTGCTTACCCTCTTCCCCCAACTGACCAATTAACGGAAAAGTTGTTGGTGAACATGAGCCCTGCCCGCCAGCAGCCTGGTGAACATGGGGAGACAGGTAAGATGGAGGGAGGAGAGAAGATGGGAGATGGAGGGAGGAGAGAAGATGGGAGATGAAGGGAGTCGATCGGGTTGGTCATACTAGATCATATTTGATACATAATGAAATTTACAGAGGGAACTCAACATGAACTAATTAACATCAACTACTTGAGATGCTTCAGCCTGACGATGTCTGGCAGATTGAAGGAGACAAGATGCCAGCTTGTGATTGATCGTGTGCGAGCATACCGATGATGGAGCATGACATGACATGACATGAACTGAAGTAGAGGCGACAAGGCTAGGTGGGAGCAAGACCAAGCAAGGGATGTCGTCACCGCAAGCCTTGCCCTCGAGCGACGAGAAGCAGGCATGGCAGAGCTCTATGCCGCTCTCGCCTCGGTCCGAGGAGTTCGCATTGCATCTTGGCATCGACTTGAACGAGGAGGAAGACAGAACTCACGCCTGGATCGCTGTGAAGGCAGTGAGAGCGCCTCTTCCCGACGGCTGGTCTCAGGTGCTCCATCCTCCTCATCCCCACACCTGCTGACCTCAATGTGCAGCACGAGGACGACGAGGGGTACATCTACTTCTACGATGCCGTCCTTGACAAGTCGTCGTGGGAGCATCCCATGGAAGCTTACTGGAAGCGAGTCCTTAACGAGGAGAGGAGAAAGATCCAACGATCGAGGGAGCTCACTGACCTGCAGCAGAAAGTTTCTGCCGGCATTGAAGCTGGGGGACAAGAAGTGGAAGAGATGGTCAGAGAGATGAAGGCCAAGTATCTCAAGAATGACATCGCAGAGATGGAAGCACAGATTGAAGGCATTAGGTCCCGCCCCTGCCCCTGCCCCTGCTCCTGCTCCTACTCTTGCTCTTACTCTTGCTCTTGCTCCTTCTCCTTCTCCTTCTCCTTCTCCTTCTCCTGCTCCTGCCCTCAAACTCTTTTCACCTTGTTGTCTTGCCAACCCCCCTTCTTTGCGTAGCTTCTAAGCTGCAATATGCGGCATGACAAGTGCTGGCGCAGGTCTCAGATCGATGCGATCCAAGCGAACCTCGGGGAGAAGAGGGAGGAGGAGAAGGCGACGTCGAGGGCGATGCTGAGGAAGCATGCGGAGCGACTACAGGCTGAGTTACGGGAGAAAAGTGCGACGCTCAAGGAGATGCTGAAGAGCCTGCAGAGGTTGTTCACAGAGGAGGAGGAGGAGGAGGAGGCAGCGGCAGCTCCTCAGATCACTCCAGACTCGCTGCACGAGATGTGCATCTTCTTGGGTATCGACGTGTACAAGGAGCCTCATCTCATCCACATCGCTAGCGAGGCCCTGGAGGCGCCGCTGCCGGAGGGATGGGAGGAGCTGGTGACGGATGAGGGGTCCATCTTCGTCAACTCCATCACTGGCGAGAGGAGCGAAGAGCATCCGCTGGATGCGATCTTCCTGACGCGGGTGGAGGAGGAGCGAGAGAGGCTGCGGCACCTGGAGGGATCGCTCTATCACGACGCCTGGGTCAAGTTCCGAGACGAGGAGGGCGTCGCCTACTTCTACAACTTCCGCTTGCAGGAGATCTCCTTCGATGCCCCCCGACAGCAGGGAGCTCGCGGCCATCGCCATCCAGTCTCGCGTGCGCGGGATGCTGACGAGGACGAGGATGGAGCAGCAGGGGAGGAGAGTGCTGCGAGTGAAGGCGGCGAAGTTGTCGAGGAGGAAGCAGGTGCTCAGGGCGAGGCTGCAGCAACTTGCACTGGGAGCTGAGATGACGGAGGAGCTGCAGAAGCGCTTGAGGGAGGAGAGCGCACGAGAAGCGCCGAAGGAGTCCAAGGAGGAGAGGGAGCTGGAGGATCGCAAGAGCATGCTGGAGGCCTGGAAGATCAAGTTCGTCCTCCGCGAAGAAAGCGCTGCCAGGATTCAAGGGGCTGTGCGAGCATGGAAAGCTCGTAGGGAGCTCAGAAGGAGGAAGCAGAGGCGAGAGGCGAAGGCTCAGGTGCTGCAGGCTTCATGGAGGTGTCATCTGGGAAGAAGGGAGGTGGATGAGAGGAGGAGGTTGCTTCAGCTCGCTGCTGCGGCTCGCAGGCGTCTGCTGCGAGCCGCTACTATCCAGAACGCCTTCCGCTGCCATTGGGCTCGCAAATTGTTTCAACGCCGAATTGAGGAGGAGGAAGAGGGAAGGAAGGAATCGCTAAGGCGGGCTGCTGAGACGATCAAGTCAGCTGCTCTCCGTCTCCTCCACCAGCAGGCGTATCGGATGTTGATGGACAAGCTGGAGAAACAAGCCAAGGAGGAGGAAACGAGCGACGGAACCCAACAGCAATACCAGGAGCAGCAGGAGCAGGAGCAGGAGCAGGAGCAGCAGCAGGAGGGAGATGAAGGCGGGAGGGATGTGAATCGCTTGGTCATCGTTAGTCGAGCTGCTACACCGCGATCAGTTTCTTCCTCTGCTTCCAGCCGTGATGACCCTTCTGGCATGCACAGGATGAGCCAAGGGGGAGGAGGATCCGGGGAGGAGGGAGAGAGGAAGGAAGAGGAAGAAGAGAGGAAGGTGGAAGGAGAGAGGGAGGATCAAGGAGAGAGGGAGGAGGGAGGAGGAGAGGAGAAAGCAGCACAGCATCATGCTGTACCTCATGCGACTTTCTCTCCTCATTTGATGCCTGAGCCGGTGACTCTCGTCCTCGACATGGAGTTCGAGGAGTGGGGGGAGGAGGCAGAGGCGAAGCTGAAGCAGACGTTCTGTGCCATCGCTCCGCTCCTCTCCCCTCACGACATCGAGATCGTCCGCGTGAACCCAGGCAGCGTCGTCCTCTTCTTCCTCCTCCACCATGAGCTCTGGGTCCAGGCGCTTGACGCGCTGTGCCGTGACCTGCTGCTGGGAGATGCGAGCCAGCTAAAAGCTTCGCTACTCGCGGTCAGTATGGACGTTCCTTTCCTCCTGCCCTCCGTCTTGCAGCAGCAGACACAAGGGACGGGGCCTTGGAAGGAGAAAGAGCAAGCGAGCGAACCCAATGAAGCAGATGCGACCGAGAGCGAGGAGAAGCCCGAGCTTGACAAGGAACAAGCTCGCGGCGAATATGCTGGGAATTACATGGAAGAGCAGGAGGCAGCGAAGGAGGAGGCAGCGAAGGAGGAGGAGGCAGCGAAGGAGGAGGCAGCGAAGGAGGAGGAGGCAGTGAAGGAGGAGGAGGCAGCGAAGGAGGAGGAGGAAGCGAAGGAGGAGGAGGCAGCGAAGGAGGAGGCAGCGAAGGAGGAGGCAGCGAAGGAGGAGGCAGCGAAGGAGGAGGCAGCGAAGGAGGAGGAGGCAGCGAAGGAGGAGGCAGCGAAGGAGGAGGCAGCGAAGGAGGAGGCAGCGAAGGAGGAGGAGGCAGCGAAGGAGGAGGAAGCAAAGGAGGAGGCAGCGAAGGAGGAGGCAGCGAAGGAGGAGGAAGCAAAGGAGGAGGAAGCAAAGGAGGAGGCAGCGAAGGAGGAGGAAGCAAAGGAGGAGGAGGCAGCGAAGGAGGAGGCAGCGAAGGAGGAGGAAGCAAAGGAGGAGGAGGCAGCGAAGGAGGAGGCAGTGAAGGAGGAGGAGGCAGCGAAGGAGGAGGAAGCAAAGGAGGAGGAAGCAAAGGAGGAGGCAGCGAAGGAGGAGGAGGCAGCGAAGGAGGAGGCAGCGAAGGAGGAAGCGGCAGCTGTGACGAAGGAGATGAAGCACGAGGAAGGGGAGCAAGACGGGGAGGCGAAGGAGGAGGAGCATAGCAGCAACCCTCACTTGCCAGCAAGTCTGCATGAGCAGCGTGGAGACATTGGAAAACAAGTGAAGGGCATGGACGAGAGTGACCAAGAGGACAGGAGGAGATGGATTTCATCAGCTTCATCATATCCACCTTCCTTGGCGTCCTTTCCTCCCCTTCCCGAAGACAGTGAGTCCTCTCACTCCTCCTCTCTCTCACTCCTCTCACTTCTCCTTCTTGTTCTTCTTCTGCTTCTCCTTGTCCCTCATGGTCTCCCAGGCGCCTCTCAGGTCGGATCCTCCACCAGCTCTGCTCGCGAGGAAATCGCAGACGCCGTTGTCTCTTTCATGGAAGGAGCGCTGGCAGAAGCTGAAGAGCTGGAGAAGGAGAAGAAGGGAGAAGGAGCAGAAGGAGCAGAAGGAGCAGAAGGAGCAGAAGGTTCCCGTTCTCTCAGGTCTGTTGGTCATGCGTGTCCAGTCAAGATGACAAGAGAGCAGGAGGAGCAAGACCGAGCTCAGCTCCCTCCCGCGCGACCATGGCAAGAGGAGGCGAGAGGTCCAAGACTGCAAGGTCAACTCACTCACTCGTGCTCTTCAATACCTTGCCGCTCTCTCGTCCTTCCCTCTCCCCCCCTCTACGTCTTCCTGCTCCCCGGCTCTGCTGCTGGTGTTGACGTCTTTCCTCCCGTAGTGCGTACCGACGTCCCTCCACCTCCCGCGTCTCTTCTCGCTCTCCTCGCCCCGTCACCTTGTCCGCTCGGCGTCGCGTGGGAGGCAGGAAGAGGAAAGAGGAAGAAGAGAAGCAGAGCGAGCCCCTTGCTAGCAAGGGTGACGAGAACCAGAGCACGCAGCGACCGGTAAGACCCCAGGAGGAGGACAAAGGGGAAGAGAATACGCAGGAGCAGCAAGAAAACCAACAGCAGGAGCAGCAACTGCTGCAACAGGATGAGCTGCAGCCTCAGCTGCAACAAGAGGCTGAGGAGGAGCAAAAAAGAGAGGAGGAGGAGGGGGAGGGGGAGGGGGAGGAGGAGCGAGCAGCAACAACAACAAGATCAGCAGCAGCAGCAGCAGCAGCAGCAGCATGGCAAGCGTCATCATCATCATCAGAAGGAGGAGCAGGAGCAACAAAAGGAGCAGCAGCTGCTGCAGCAGGAGGAGGAGCAGCAACAAGAGGAGGAAGAGCAGCAGCAGCAACTACATGACAAACATCAATACAATCATCAGGAGGAGGAGCAGGAGCAACAACAGGAGCAGGAGGAGGAGCATGGGGAGGAGGTAGAGGAGGGAGGAGAGGGGGGGGACGGAGGTCAAGACTTGAAGACACTCTCGGATCAGATTTCACTCTCGAGCTGGAGATGAGCCTTGAACGCTCGCTTGCAGACAGGGGGCCTCCTGCTCTTAACCCGCAGCCTCCCCGGTCGTCGTCGCGACGAGCTCGCTTTGCTGACACGCTTGCTGAAGACGTGGAGGAAGGGAAGGCAGAGGGCATGGAGGAAAGTCTTCTTTCTCTCGCTCCTACTGACCTCGGAAGCTCCCTTGCCAATAGCAGGAGGAAGGAAGAGGACCGACAGTTGACCCTGGCTGAGGAAGAGCACGAGGAGGAGGGAGGGGAAGGGGAGGAGAACAAAGAGGAGGAGGAGCAGCAGGCGGAGGAGGAGCAGGTGGAGACGCAGGAGCAGGAGCAGGAGGAGCATCAGCAGCTTCATGAGCGGCAGGACGAGCACGGGCAGGGGCAGGAGAGCTTGGTCGTGCGATCGGTGATGGGGAGTGGGATGGGGAGGAAGAGATATATGAGCAGTCTGCTCCCTCTGAGCGAGTGCGAGGAGGAGGTGCTGGTGAAGATGGCGGAGGCGATGGGGGTGAGGGAGGAAAGGAGGAGGTCGCGAGGAGACTTGACCGCTGCCATATGCGAGGAGGAGGCAAAGCGTGCGAAGCTGTGCACGAGGCTACAGGCCATGTACCGAGGAGGCAGGACAAGGGAAGGGCTGCGGGAGAGAGTGCTGGAGTGGAGGAAGGAGATGGCAGTGCGCGTGCTCGAGCAAGAGATGTCTTCCTCGCGAGCTACTGGAGCTGCTGTTCTGCTTCAGCGAGTCATGCGGGGCCACAAGGGGAGGGGAGAGGCGAGGCAGGCGAGGAGGCAACGGCAGAGGAGGGACAACGAGGCGCAGGAAGCAAGAGTGGCGTACTGGAAGAGCAAGTGCATGCAGGAAGCGCTGCTGCTGACTCGAGTGGCTCGCGGTCACGTGGGGAGGAAGGAGGCGAGGAGAAGAGCAGAGGCGAAGGAGCGCGAGAGACAGCTGGAGCTCTTCGACCTGCAGGCGCGTCAGGAGCTTGACTACGAGTTCGACCCCGAGGAGGACGACGAGGACGACAGCAGGCACGAGGACGAGGAGGAGGCGTCGGACTTCGGGGACGAGGCCTCGCCGAGGAGGATCACGAGCTGGTACGCGAAGCTGCTGCAGCCTGACGCGTCCATGGGGTCAGACGTGGAGGCAGCGGCAGCTCGGGGGGTTCAGAACGCTTTCCGGATGCACCTGGCGAGGAGAGCGATGGCAGTGAGAGAGAAGAGGAAGAAGAAGCAAGAGCTGACGCTGCGCGAGCACGCGGCCTCCAGCATCCAAGCAGGCTTCAGGTACGCGAGGAGGAGGCGGACGGAGGCGAGACGGAGGATGGAGTCGGAGCTCTTCGATGTCCGGCAGAGGAGCGCTCTGCGCATCCAGGCGCTGCTGCGAGGAGGGATGCTGAGGCTGAGGCTGAGGAGGAGGAGGAAGGCGGAGGAGCTCTGGGCGGAGGAGCGAGAGCTGATGGCGGCGGTGAGCATGCAGTCACTGGCGCGAGGCTTCCTGGAGAGGAGGAGGGTGCAGGCGCGCAAGGAAGAGCGACTGTCAGTGCTGCTGGTGCACAAGTCGGCGGCGAAGATTCAAGCGAGATGGAGGGGGGCGATGGCTCGGTCGAACAAGGAGAAGCTGCTGCTGGAGAGGAAGAGGTACCACGAGGAGCTCGCGCAGCAGCAAGAGGAGGCCAAGACGCTGGTCGCGATTCTCCTCCAGTCCACATACCGGGGCCACCTGGGGCGAGAGCTGTACAGAGAGAGGGTGATGGAGGAGGAAGCGAGTCGACGGATGAGCTTGAGGAGGAGGAGGAGAGCGGCAGTGATGTTTCAGAGCCTTTTCCGCGGTTTCATGTACCGCAACAGGAGGAGGATGCAGGCGAGGCAGAGGCGAGAGAGCGCTGCAGCTACTCAGGTGCAGCGAGTGCTGCGAGGACACGCGGGGAGGAACGAGGCGTCGCGGCAGAAGTTCCTCCTCCTCTTCGGTCACATGTCCGTCTCCGTCTCTCTCCTCGCCAACAACTACAGGATGCACCTCGCAAGGAGGCGACGACGCGCGCTGCTGGAGAGGACAAGGATGTCGGCGGTCGCGAACATGCTGCAGAGCGTGTACCGAGGGCACGTGGGGAGGAGGGAGTACAGGAGGAGGGAGCATGAGCGACACAAGCTGGCCTGCTTCCTCCGCTTGCAGTGCGCCATGCGGGGCCATATGGCTCGCGCTATCTTGAGGAGGAGGAGGGATGTGGCGAGAGAGCAGCTGATGGCTGGGAGGATCCAGCGAGTCGTTCGCGGGCATGCGGCAAGGAATCAGCTGCGAGAGTTCGTAGAGAAGCTCAGCTGGGAACGAGCTGCCGGGATGGCGACGAGGCTGCAGCGAGTGTGGAGGGGACACGTGGGACGAGTGCGAGGGAGGAGGGAGAGGAACAAGCAGAGAGCTCAGGTGGACCTGGACTGGCTGGCGGAATACACGAGGAGGCTGGAGAAGGTGAGCGAGGAAGAGCACTGGACGCTTTTCCGCTCGCATCTCTCCGTCATCGCCAGCAAGGTAGAGCAGCTGCTCTCCTCCATGCTCGCGGGGGACCTCGCCGCCTCCCTCCCGCCCCCAGACGACGAGGCTGAGCAGAGGCGGGTAGAGGAGCCGTTAGGGCAGCTCGTGCCGGAGCTCCGCAAGGCACTGGAGGAGATGGCAGGGGAGGTGGAGGCGACGCGACCCTGGAACGTGGGGAAGGCGGAGAGAGTCGCGCAGGAGCTGGTGGAAGTGGCAGAAACTACTCAAGAGACGCTGAGGAGAAGAAGGAATGCGGACAAGGAAAGTTCTGCGAAGAAAGACTTGCTGGAGGAGGAGGAGGAGGAGTCAAAGCAGGAAGAGGTCAGGCAGATTGTGCCTGAGTACTACAAGCAAGCGGCCTCACGCTCGGGAGACAACGAGGCGCAGGAACGGAAGAGGACAGGGAAGGAGGCGAAGGAGACGAGGGAGGTCACGAGGAGGGGAGGGGAGAAGTCGGAGGCGCTGCAAGAGATCGTGGCGAGGCAGGAGCAAGACGAGACGCGGGTGCAAGGACAAGACCTCCGCATGCCTGCACCTGGCGAGCTGAAGCAGCACGGGCGTCGAGACCCCGTGCTGCTGGGAGGCTTCTCGGAGAAGAGAAAAGCCAAGAAGATGCGAGAGACGAGCCGTTTGCCTGCCGACATCCCGCGAGGAACGTTCCCTCCCCGAGGTGCCTCCTCCTCCTCCTCCTCCTCCTTTCTTGTCGAGCGAGAGACGAGGACACGAAGAAGCGCCGCCCTGTGGGCGTCAGAGCTTAGCAAGGAAGCAGCTCGCAAGCCCAGAAGCTCCGCCCTAGCTGACTCCATGGCCCTCCTCTCCCCTTACAGCCAAGGTGGAGGACGAGCGAAGTCAACGGGAAGGAGACGTCAAGCAGCGGAGGAGGAGGAGGAGGAGGAGGAGGAGTACGGACGGCAGATGTCAGCAGGAGAGCAGCGGTCCTTGGAGGAGGTTCGGCGTATCCTCAACGACTCGAAGTTGATCATGAACGTCAGCCCAGCGCTGCTGGAGGAGACTCCAGCTCCAGCTCCGGAGAGCATGTTGCCTCGCCTGCCGCAGACAGACAGGAGGAGGAGGAAGAACTACCAGGAGAGGGGCAACGAGCAAGTGAAGCTTCCGAGCCTGTTCATGAGCTCCGGCACCCCCGAGCTCATCGACCTCTCCGGGCCCTTCGCGATGTGAGGGAGAAAGGAAGAAAGTAAACACCCGCTCTGATGTCAAACTCCTCCTTTACCACCACTGACACCATCTCCTCCTCCTCTCTCCTCCTCCTCTCTCCTCCTCCTCTCTCCTCCTCCTCTCTCCCTTCCTCTCTCTCTCATCTCCTTCGCTTCGCCGGCGGCACCTGCGAGAGGTCAGCGACGAGCCTCACGAGTGGAGCAAGACAGCAGGAACCTCGTTCGTGTCTTGACAGACGAGGAGAGAGCCGTGCTGTCATGCCGTCAGCCTCCCCTCTTCCTCTTCCTCTCCTTTACCTGCCCGCCGAACTCAATCGCGATGGCTCTCCCTTGCAGATGCGGAACCAGTTGAGGTTGCTGCACGTTGGCGTGAGATGAGGGTCAAGAGCAGCTAAGGCGAGAGCGAGAGGAGGAAGGAAGAGGAGGGAGGAAAGGAGGAGATGAGAGATGATAATCATGAGCAGGAGGGCGGAGGCGGAGGAGTAGGTGGGGAGGAGCGGGAGCTCACGTCTCTTGTTACGGGGAGTGGCTGGGACGCAGCGCGGGGGGGGG